ACGACAATTTGCTATGTTCAATGTATGTACATATAAGAGAATGGAAATATTTTAATAAGACACTTTAACGATTTAAAACGCGATATATAAACTTATTCGCCTAACACCAACGACGACAATACGATTTAAATGTGTACTACTCGCGTAAACTATATATAAAGTTACTAATAATAAAAATGTATACATAAGTTACTACTTAACATATAAAATAGTCATATTTAAGAAAAAAATAAATTTCGAGTTCACAAACAGTATTACATAAAGATACCTAACATAACATACATAATATGTAAAAAATATTGTGTACCTACCTACTTAATAAGTGAAAATTTATTGTTAGAATAAGAGCGCCACTATCGCCAACAAACTGTCCAGCAGTTTGGCGATTTTGATATAAATGTAAAAAATGTATCTTTTTACGGTAAATAAAAAAAATCAAATAAATGAAGTGCTCAAAAAAAAACTTTTTTTTTTGCAATTTTCAAACTCAGTATTCGCGCTTTAATAAGAAATACTTTAACTGCTTTCTTGGTCTAGTTGTTACTGAACAGCAAATGTCCCGGTTTCGAATTCCGGACCGACCGAATTGTACGTCACAGAAACTAAACGAAAGGAGGTATATTTACTTTTTTTTTTTTTGTACCGTCGGAAAATGCCTCCCTGGGTACGGCTCTGTGATAAGCTGACACGTCTAACGACTGCTCAAGCGGCAGCCCGTATGTGAAAGCGAGCTAGCCTGTCTCCTTGGCCTAAATGCTGCGCTAACACACCCCAGTGGACACGGACCAAAGGCCGTCGCCCGCCCGTGACCACCTTACGGGGAGGGGTGCCGCGAGACTGCGGAAGACGATGCCGCCACACTTCGCCAGCGGAGAGACAGCCGAATGGCCGCAGTCCACTCCCGGAGTTTGTTAAGCATACCCCTCGCGGCGCGGTGCAATTGCGAGGGGTTATGTGGGTCTCTCCCACCTCGAAAGAGGTGGGCATACCGCACTAAAAACCGACTGCGCCGTCTAATCGCTTAAGGATGAGCCACGGTATCAGCAGAGCCTTAACCACGTGACCCTGGCGAATGCCGCAGCGAAGCTGCAGCTCTCCTAAAGCGGCCGAAGCCGCTTCCGCGCCTCTCCTTTGCCACCTTGGAGGCAGCACGCTGACTTGAAGTCAGCCGTCCCACGTGCCCGAAGACACCACTGCCCAGCAGGGCAAAAACATCTAAAACGGGCGAAAACGCCCCCACCATTATGCCTCCTGTAGGGTTTTCTATCGAAAACCAATCAGGAGCTTTCACCTCGCGGTCTTGGAGACACGCCATCCACCATGCCGAAGCACCACTGGGTCCGAAGACCCGACGACAAAAGGCGCTGAGCGCCCGAGCGATGAAACGCTCCCTTTCTGGCCGTTTAGGGTACGCCCGTGGAAACCCACCAGATTTGGTCCGCGCCGGCAGCCTAACTGCCGATAGTCGCCATTATCTGACGACATTTCCCCTATCCGCCACCTGGGGACGCGCCCGGTGGAAGTCTGGCAACTCCCCCCCGCAGGGCACTCCGACCCCACAGGGTGCCGGGAAGAAGGTATATTTACTGATGCGAGAGTTAGTAACTACATAAAATTAAACAGCGCTGTGGGATTTCACAAACGACGACGCCGCTTCATTTGAATATACCCAAGTTTTAAGTCACCGCAATAACCAAGTTCTGGATTCATATAAACCAGTTTCCTAACTATAGGAACCATCGTTCTGATGTGAAGTGATAGCGATGTAATGGGGTATGAAATGTTACCTCTTGTAGATTTCGTATCTAGTAAAGGTTAATTGATTCTATGGTGGCGGTTAAAGAAGTAAGGATTTTTGTTCAACTGTAGTATTTTTTTATATTCATTTAAAGGTCGAATACCCTATCCACATGACATCTTGACAAGATGCGCTGGCGTACTATTGATATTTGAAAATTCACAGCTTTTTCATCTCTTGATGACCTTTCATGGCCTGAACGAAGTTTTGGATATCTTTCAAAAGAATTATAAATTGATTGCAATATGTTGGACCGCTGGGAATGGAACTGACGTCCCGTGGATTATAAGCTATACCTTGCTACCATTACACCATTAAGCTCATCAAAAATAAAACAATACGTAAAGGTCCTATTTGAGTTGTTTGTGTCCCAGAAGGAAATTTGGTCTGTTTCATTCAATATTTATAATTTATGTACTTGACACTATTTTAAAATTAGTAATGATAGATACCAGAAGATATTCCTATTTTTTTTTAGTTTTATACGTGCCAGAAGAAAATTCATTACCAGAGAAGTGACATCGCTCATAGAGTAGTATCAAATTAAACTAGGAAAGTGAAATAACCTTGATTAATATTAACTAAGCAAGGAATTTGATATGACAGATGAGCCCATTGTGTAATATGCACAGGACCATTTTGGTGACTCATTTCTTTTCTTCCTTCGGTATACAAAACCAAAATATGCAAACGATTTTGTGTTCGTGACCCCACCAAAATGGAATGATTGCACTTCTGAAGAATATTTGGATTATTATAGTTTCCTGAAAAGTTCATTAAATCACAACATTTTTATCAGTTAAGTTGCCTTTTAGACATTATATTGTTTGATATTGACGGACTATATTTGCTCCATGCATCTTCAAGCTTCATCACTTTGTCTTTTGGAGTAAAGCCTAATATGATTATGGTATATTTTCAAATTCTGAGTTTTTTCTTTTTAGTTTTCCTATCAATAATGTTCCCTTCGATACATTGTTATGAAAAATATTTGGTGAAAACAGAATTATCGAACTCATATTAATATGTGTCCTTTTCAGTTAAGACATTCACGCATAAAATAGTTTTCATTGTATTGTATTGGTCGCAACATCAACAATTAAGCATAGCTTGATTGATAGCTTGAAAAACTCTTGATGTTTATCAGTTTTAGGGAAGCCAAAATTCCATAATTTTGGCGATACAATCCAACAGCTGTAGGCGACGAAAAGCGTGTAATTTAACCTTATTATTTTTCACTGACTTAAATTTATGTGATTCAATACTCTCTTTATATTTTCTGATATCCCTTTGTTGTCAGGAATATCATGTATGCTCTTAATTTGTTCCTATTATTTTATAACTAAGCCTTTCTTTTTTTAACTAAGCATTTTTCATCACGAACAGAATAAACCTTTTTTAATATTTTCGTAGCGTAATATTTTAGCTTAGCGCTTTTTTTGTAATCTCTTCTTCCTTGTTTGCTTTTTTTTAACATTCACCATGAAGTCTGACTATGTTACTATATTTAAAACAAATCAAATTCAACCTTAGCATATTAAATATTGAATAAAATGTTATCTTGTCACTTCTTTGGGAAGTGTGTATTTCCACTGGCATGAAAGTTCCAGAGAGGTGACAAAATTACACATAACCCACAAAAATAACATCATTCCCTTAACTCGCTACAGTTCTATGTAAATTATGACTTCTGGACACAATAAACATTGCATGAACTAAATACACAGTTTGATAGCTATAAAATTGTATTTACCAAAGGAATCATCAAGAAACACGCTTTCCGAAATTCAATTGCTGTCTGACGACATTTTGTTTGAATTTTGCACAAAGACATAAGCTTGCTTCTAACTTCACACTAACGTACGCGCGTATTTAAAGGGCAAAACATACCGTGGGCATTTTTAATCTAAATTTTATTTTATTGAGTTGCGCCAGATGAAGTTACGATATTGTAACATGATACGCGAAAAAGTTATTTTATTTTATATTAATAGTTTTTTATATAGTTTATTTTGATAAAATATGTTGCATTGTTTATAATAGCATACGATCATTAAAAAATAAAACATAATTGAATACGTATTAACATTATTTTTTACATAAAACCATTATAATCCGTCAATGGGAAGGCCAGAGAGAGAGACTATACATTTCTAACGTTTTTAACAAAAAAATCCATAAATTGACTAATTATCATAACATGATTTTGTGTCCCAGATAAAGGCAATATTATTTATTATTTAAACACAAAGCAACAAAAATACAATAAATTTAACACGTGTTTTTTCTATGGCCCATTGAAAACCAAATACCGTATATTGACCCAATACCTATTTCTTATTATTGTTCATATACACTACACTATTACAAAGGTGCTGTTTGTTTCTGAACCTGATCCCAACACCTCGCAATAACTTCCCCACACAAGCGATACGGTGGATTTTCAGATGTACTTAACAGAAAGATGTTTTCTCATTTTTACGCAAAGTATCGTATTACGTGAAACTTAGGATAAGTTGAGAGCGACCGCTGTACGTCACTTCGTTTTGGGTCAAGTCATGTCATATTGTTTACGCTTTGAGCTGTGTCGGTGAACTGGTGCCTCTTCAAAGGATTTTTGTGAAGTGCGTTTTCCATATTGTTTAATTGATATTTAACGGGTAATGAACCACCGACCATAGATGCAAATCCGTTAACTGGACATTTACGTTTAAATATATATCTATACTAATATTATAAAGCTATGTGTTGGATATATCAGTTATCGAGCAGAGAAAGGCTTAGGCTGCGACCAATAAAAGGGTAGAAAACAGTGGAAAAACCGGGGAAAACTTTTTACCGTTAAGGGTTCCGTTGCGTGCGCTGCGAAAACGGTTCAAGAAACCAAAATATACGTATTTGTTATTCTGAATGCCTCTTAAATATATAAAAATATGTCCGCGGCAGAATTTGTCAATCTTTCAATATTTATTCGCAAGAACGACGGAGACAAACGACGTCGTCAGTAACAGCTATAATTTAAAAAGCTGATAACTATTCCACGCGGACGCAGCTAGTGTCTAATAAGGGCTGACATAATTTCCTCTATCATATAAATCCTATCCCTGTTATCTGTTATGAGAAGTTCTGATGAGGGTGTCGTCTGTTCTAGATCTAGAGGGAGGTCGCGGGTGGTGCCGGCGGCGGCCGCAAGCCCGGCACCATGGCTACCGTGGAGGGGCGGCCGGCGCAGTACGGCGTCACTCTCCGGCAGCTGCGCGAGCTGATGGAGACCCGCGGCGCCGAGGGGCTGGGCAAGATCAACGCGCTCGGCGGCCCGCAGGACCTCTGCAAGAAGCTCTACACATCGCCCACAGATGGTAAGTCAGACCATTTTTTTAATAAAGTCAGACTCTATCTGTACCAGTCGGTAAGCATATCTTACAGAGGTACACGTCGCTTACCACCACAGTCATTTAAGTGAGATGAGGATCTTGCATCTCCCTTTAAATAAAAATCATTAATTCGTCATCTACTCGTATAAACCAGAACATATTGAAGTCTTACAGTTTCTTTTCATTCAAAAGCAAGAGCGTTTTAATACTATACCTGTCCTGTCTTATATAGGTTTTTTCATCAGTATAGTGGACCACCGACAAAAATCTCGAATTGTATTGACCTATATGGTGAATTGACTTTCAAGCAAAGGACCATATTTAAAATATCTTATATAATTTAGGGACAGCCATATTTATATTTATTTATAATGTTGCATAAAAAAAACAATAATGTTTTCTTTTTATATGTAGAAAAGTGAAATAAATCTTATTGATTCACAAACTATATTGTACAACCCTCAGAAGTGTCACATTGATCGCCCTATATGTGACAAGATATAATTAAATTGCAATTAATATGCACAAATATGTGAGTAGATTTTAATCCCTTACAGAAATAGGCAACGCCAGTATGCAGTGTGTGCAATGTAATGCAAGTGTTGTATCAAATTCATAAACAATCTAATATTTACTAATTTCAAAATGTAAGCTAAGTTTTGATTGCAAGACTACTAATAACTTGAAGTTTCTTAATCCCGTGTAGCGCCGCTGACTAGAATAATCTTTACGTATAAATTTGAGTTTGACTAGCATTATATTCATACTAAAAATATATAATTTAAAATAGCTTCGCCTAAACCGAGCGTGGCACAATTCGATGTTGTTCGTAGGTTTGAATCCTATGGTATCATTTTAATCATTTTAATCTAGGAGATATGAAAGATTAAATATAGAAGCTTTCATATCCAAAATATTAGAGTACTATAATTACACTTACACACATAGTCTAAGTTGACTAAAAGAAACATTCCTAAAACAGTACATATGTTAGTAGCGTTTTTTTTTTTATATTTAAAAATAATTACATAAAAAAAATCAAACATGCAAGCTTACGATTTTTCTATAATAAAACTTCAATTCTAAAAAGCTCGCTTCCTGCTATCCGTTAGGATGGGCCACTTTCATGTTTCAGCGTAACGAATTTTTCGCTTCACGATTTCAACCGTATTCAAATAGCTTGCTTGTAGAGATATTCTCTCCGCTTTGTATTTTCCTAGCATATTTTATGCCTGATTTTTGCAGATTATTTAACAGATTTAACTAGAGAAACGTTTCTACAAAATTTATTAATCACAACGTTGAATTTTGAATATCTAAAGCCGAAATAGGTCGACAGCGCACCGTGTTAAATTATATCGCTTATACTTCGTCTTCCATCAAAGGGACCCATGCTTATCTGTGTTTCTTATATATATTAGATTTCAATTATATACAAATGCAAAATTTACCTGACAAGAATAACATCTTCCGTTTTTAATACTTATCCCAAATAAAACAATTTTGTTAGTTTTAGGGGGTGTTGATCAGACTTCTGTGCCCTGCCCGACTGAAACAATTTTATGTTTCCCTGGGATTCGAAATGCTAGGCAATACGTTTAACCATTTGGCTACAGAGGCGGTATACTTATACTAACAGCTTTATTTGCAAGTTAACTCATAACTAAGTATATTTTACTGTCCGCACGTGGCCTAATGTGAATCATTTCCTATTTTTTATTAGTCTGTTATACGTCCCACGCAGACTACACGTAAGTACGTTAGGATAATTCACGTGGGCAACATCGACACTAGTTTATTTCTTTATCAAAAACTAACCCTGTGTGATGGAGGTCAGTCCCTCGTTGCGAGCCCACGTTTGCCGCAGAACAAATTACAATATATGGGCTTAACCCTACATACTGATCTATACATCTAAACTAATCTTAGAGAGAAAAAATACTATGGTTTTTAGTAGTTTGTATCATTACATAGTGTAAAACAAAGTCGCTTTTTCTGTCCCTATGTACGTTTAAATCTTTAAAACTTCACAACGGATTTCAAAAGTTTTTTTTAAATAGATAGAGTGATTAGAAGAGGCAGGTTTTTAAAAACAACGTTCGCAGTTTTTTTGTAGTGTATTTAGTATCGGCATTGCCACAAACAAAGCCGGGGCGGGTCGCTAGTACGGTATAACATTTCAACTACTACTTTAAAGCAATATCGACGAAGTCAGATTTGTCGATTGTTTAAATTAAAAATCTAAACGGGTCTGGGTTCGATTCCCTTAATTTGTCATTTCGAAATATTAAAATTCTTCCGTGTCAGTCGGATTTATGTGTTCGTGTCTAGGTAAAAGAGGTCGACAACACATCTTAATTACTTGTTATGAGTCTAATGAGGCACCATGCTTGTCTGTGCTTCTTTATCATAAAAATATTTCGATGTTATTCCAATCCTTAGGCTGCGATAGTCGCTCTAATTGTGTGTTTTTATCAGATGGCGAACGAAAATATCTTCAGCAATCTTAAATATTTATCTTAATCGAAGCCGGAAATCGATACTCGTAAATTGCAGATGACCGTTCCTATAGCTCATTAACGATGTCTATATCGATTTATTTTCTATTATATAAAACTAATCCTTCAATAATGATTTATTATACAACAGTTTAAACGGCAATAGCCAGTTACATATACGGATAAATAAAACACTTTAAACGATTTAAAACGCGATTATATTAATCGAATTGTAAATAAGTTAATAAGATTTTTTACCCTTCAAAAGTGTTACCCCTCAAACATGTATAAATGTTTGGTGTTTTTTCCACGTTTCCCTTTGTTCCTTCGCTCCTATTGGTAGCAGCGTGATATTTTATAGACTGAAGCCATCCTCGATCAACCCGATCAGAGACTAGTGAAACTGGGGTAGCAGATTCTAACCCGGGATATTGCACAATAATATTGATCGTCTATGGGCCGCTTAAGGGCGGTTTGTCACAGATCGGTTCATTACTAACCGGCTGTCATCGCGATAGCAGACTAGATAGTCTGACGTTATGTTGGTGCAGATACTACATGTCGGTCTGACATTTTCCATTTTACTACTGTAAAGATTGCATTGTTATCACGCCTCGTCATTCCTCTTATAGACATGACATTGGCAGAATCCATTTAATTTCACAGAAATTTCTTCATTCATTCATTGGTTGCTATATACTGTAAAGCTGACACCTGCTCTAGTTTGGGAGAGGGGAATTAACTATTTATCGGATTAAAACGCGAAAGACACGTCGGGTCTTAGTTAAAATAATTACAATAGCCGACAGAGAAAACAATATCTCGAAAAGAATTCCACAAGTAAGATCTACTATAATTTATTATGTATCAAAATCCAATTTATTCGAGATCTACATATATCTATCACGATCTATTTAGACGTACGTTAATAATAACTCGCCTCGAAATGAGTAAAACAGCGTTTTTGACGATTCACTTTGATCTACAAATTGAATGAACATAATCAAACGGTGCTCCTGCTTAATTTAGATACGTGAGCTTTCGGCTCGCGTGAAAATTTGATCATTCATTCGTTCGGTGAACGTATCGATCGAGGTTCACTGAACCGGTCCCATTCGCGCGATACGAAATTCATATTGGATTGGGGATGGCGGGGATCGATCAATGCGAAGCGATTTAACGCGTCCAATAAGGCGAAAATACGATTTTTCAATATTTTTAACGGTTTAAAACGCGAATTATATAAGTCAAATCTTTAGATACGCGCGACAAAAGCGCAAGCAAATCTATACAATATTATAAATACTGGTTTGAATTAAGGAAATATTTTTGTGTTGGTTGAAGAATTTATCGAGGAAGGCTATAGGTTTAAACTACCCAAAAATATATATAAAAGAATGATTAATCTTTAAATGTTCTGAAAAATGTCCTAAACCGCGACAATATATTTTTTAAGACTAACTTGCAAGAGGGGCGGAAGAAATTTTCATGCCTAAAATTCTACGCGGAAGGAGGGCACGGCTAGTTTATTATACACGGTTATTTTTCGATATGGCAACCCGATGTGCAATAATCGCATTGTTAATCTAGATTCAATACCGGTAATGAAACATTAATACGGTTTTAGTGTCGATTTCATTGGAATCGTAATTCTAAACTCCTCGGGCGGTTACGGCCGCCATTTACGACATCTATTTACTATCGAGAAACAAATAAATTATTTACTTTTAATTCAGGTCAATGACTAAAAGCTACACCTTATGTAAATTTGCGATCAGTAGATAGATAGATACAGTAGTGTATTAGTACACATTTAAATAAAACACTTTAACGGTTTAAAACGCGATATATTAGTTAAACTTATTTGAAAATGATTTTTAACTTCGGCCCGACGTTTCGGATGCTTTGCATCCGGTCTCGGGGTGACCACGGCTGCTGCAAACGCGCAAAACATTTCAAATGATAACTATTCTCGTTTTAACCGTTTAAATATTTTTTATCACTTATCGTAACAGAAATCTATGTAAGAATATCCATCGTCTTTTAAAGATTAATAATTAACATTTACATTTTAAATTTTTTTTTTTTTTTTTTTATACGAATAAGCAATATTACAAAAAATGTAAAGATGACAAGAAATTTCAAGATAACGAAACACATTTATTATAGCGCGAATAAATTTAGGTTCAATATGTGCTTCGCGAGGTCTTCGGGGGTTCAGTCCTTGTTAAAAATTATAAAATAAGTGTAATCTAAAAAGTCATATAAAGTAAACATCAATTTAGATGATGACACACGGAGGATTTGAAATGCTGTCCACCAATTGAGCTACCGTGTTGTCGTTGTTTAAAAGTGGTCGAGTGAAACGAAATAAACTTAAATATTAGCTGAATAACTAAATTTAAAACATTTGAACTTTATTAATTGTTAAATAAAAAACAAAGATAAAGAAAAGTAATCTTAGAAGAGTACTTGTGAAATCACCAC